AGGCTTGGCAAGAACTGATGAGGCGAACCTCGAACATCCTAATGTAATGACAGCTTACAGCAACTGTACAGAATCATTGAGGCCAATGACAGAAACAACGGCGTTTTGGGGTACTTTGGGCTGGCCTTTCTTTGCAGGTACGTTTTCACGGGGCTGGGGAGAGGGGTCTTCGTTGGCCAGGACCCCCTCCCCACCCCTCCTGGCTCCCTGCATGTATTCAGACCAATGAGAGCTGACGCCATGTCCAGGCGTTTACACACACACACACACACGCACGCACACACACGCGCACACACACACACGCGCACACACACACAGAGACGCACGCACAAAAAAAGTGTTTGTCGTGCATCAAGCATCTAAGTACATAGAAGTGTCCCTGTCTGACTTTGCACTGCCATATACTGTCATGGTAATGCCAAGCCGCTTATATAACCCCTTCGTTCGAATCCCAAACCTAACTCCCGAGTAAAGCTAGGCCAAACGGAAAGCCACAAAATCATCACCGACATCAACAACATGAATGCAGAAACATCAGTAGAAACATCCACGCCTGTATCTGCAAGGGGTCTTCAGCCGGCTCCTTGATAGCCGCTGCTGCTGCAGCAACCTGGCCGCATCCGCTCACCCCAGGCTGCCTCCAATATTTAGCTCAAGACAGCGGTTGCCAAATCGCCTCAGCCAGACCCTCCCGCATCAACTCTTCATCGTCGTCGACATCTTCCTGCACATCCTTTTGGCGCTTTCGCAGGTCTTAAGTACGTCTTCAATCTTCAACACTGTCAGACAGATGTCCTCTGGCAAGGAGCTCTGCAGAATGCTACCAGTAGCAACGTGTCCTGTGAAGTGGAACTCGCTGACAGGCTTCCGGAACGGGCTATGCAGCACAGGCGGTCTGAGAAGGGCCCTGAGCAGCATGCTTAGAAAGATTCTATCGGGCATGAAGAAGAGTTCAGCCATCTCTTGCCTGGCTACAGAGACATCGAAGACGATGCATTGTGTGTATTGAACAGAAAGGACAGGCGCACACTGCGGCTGTCACCACATCTTCGCCGGCCTCCACGGGGCAGCATGTGAGCAATTCGCAAATCGAGCTGACAGAGCAATTCTTCAAGTTGCAGTTTACCTTCAACTTGGACTAGGACGTCAGCTAGACAACTCAGCCAAGAATGACAAACGGGACAGTGGCCTCCGGTACTCTAGCATAGACAATAGACTAGAAGTGCAAGGGCAGCACCCGGCCCGGGAAAACAAGAGCTTCTCCAAACAGCTTGAACACTTCGCAGATGGTGTTGTCTTCACATCCATCCAGCCACAGTCGCAGCTTGAGCAACTCAGCGACCCTTGTGCAGCCTGCTCCTGCACTTGTGTATGTTGGGATACGATACTTGCACACGTTTGATCCTCTTATATGTTTCAGCTCACGCTATGCCGAGCTTGCTCTGTGCGAGCTTGCCACTCCGAGACAGTACGAGATCTCGCTAAAACTCAATATTGGCAAGAAGAGCCTGAAGGCGCAATGACAAAGCCAGAACGCTAGACCGACTGCCCGCGTGCAAACCCAGGACAGGGAGTTGGATTCTGCTCCACATCTAGGAGACCTTGGCTACTACCCACAAGCTCTTCGTCATGCAGCTGCACTTTCCATCAGGATCATTTGAAAGAAGGTCCGGCGCTAGAAAGTCAAGAACTTGAAAGCCACCAAGGGAACAGCGAGTTTTAACGGTGCAAGCCAGCTTCAGTATCACTCGGTTATCGGGTGCAAAAGAAAATCGGCTCATGAGGAGAGCTCCGTTTCTTTTCCAAGAAAGACCGCGAGAGGCACCGGGCTGGAATCACGGTGAGACCGCAGCCGAGGGCAAGTAGGATTGCCATCGCCTGGGTGCAGTGAAATGGGCGCGCCAAAATGTGCGCAAACGGAGACTCGGGACGTGCCCCCTTTTGGATCTTTAGGATACACCCTGGTCAAGAGGGGACATCCTATTGTTGAGCCCAGCACAGGCCAAACCCCGTCTGGCATCCGGAAATTCTAAATCATGACAGCATGCAAAATGCAATATCTCCACACAACCTGCGGGGCTTATGGAAAGTTCAAAAGGAGGTACACGGCTAACAGGCACAGCTGAAACCTCAAACCAATGCTGCATCAATCAACTCCAAGCCTTCACTGAGGTGACTCCTACGATCTTCTATGTACTAGACGCAGTGCATGCTGTCTTGAGTATTGATCGCTCCTTGACCGGAAAAGGAAGCAGTGCCGCGCTTCGAGACCCGGTGGAGACGATTGAAAGAAGAAATCTAACAGTTCAGAGAGAAATTTAGTCTCAAACTACAATGGCTCTACCAGCGACAGACACCACACCATGAATACAGAGCTCCCAGCAGACTGCACCATACCAGAGCACAAGCTAATCACCGAGGCGGCAACTCTACTGGTCTGGCTTGAGATATGAAGTCTTGCCAATCGAACTCCCGCGGCGACTGATTGAAACCTCAGGGAGAGACACCTCTGTTTGTGCGGAGTCATCATGTGAGCATATGCATGATGTTGTCGATGTCGAGAGCACCACGTTTCACCCAACCGAAAAGGGTTGGATCGGCATAGGCCTGTCGTGCGGTACGAAAACGTTGCAGGAACCGACGGAGCAAAAGGGTGCCAATGCCTCGCGTAGAAAGCGTACCATCCTGGAAGCCTCCTCCTGTCCGCACTCGCGCGGTCTCTACAGGGAACTAGCTCCGATTGGGGTTCAGACATGTCGCGGCTTCGCTTTCCATCTAAGGTTCGTGACAGGGGAGGCCTGGGCCTGCCTTCAGAGGGAAAAGCACCCGGTACTTTGCGCCTTCGACAGGAGATTGGACTTGATCTCGCCGTGGATCAACACCAGCTGATGGGAACTTGGCTGGCGGGTTCTCTCGCAATTCTGGAGTCGCAAGAGAAACTTGGCTTGCGGGCACGATGAGCTCAGTGAAGAATGAGACCCCGAGGTCAATGACTGGTGAGCCCTGCCTGGAAAAACCACGGAGGGTGCCTGGACTACAAAGCAAGTGCTCGGGGCTCGCGCTGGAAGCCATCCAACGTCTTAAAGAGAACCCGCTGGTCCTGAACCTTCACTGCCAAGCTGACAAATGCATCCTGTGCTGTACTTATCTCCGTCGCCTGCCAAACCATGTTCAGAAAGCCCTCTCCACGAGGAAGCGGAACAACGAACATAGGGCAGGCCTCGCGATCGCACAGGAAAGTCATGCACGCTTTCATCACATTAGACATTCGACTGAGCGAAAGAGAAGGAGAGTTTCATTGCCTCGGCATTCGCTTGAAACCTTGGGATGCATACAAATCCTTCGAAAGCACTTTTGCTGTAGTTCAACCAAGGCAGCAACGGTCTGTAATCTTTGTCACTAACTGCCTTGGGAACAGAGGGCTTCAACGAAGGACCTGTCGACCGCCCTTCAGCTGCCTGAGAAGCAAACTCCGGCGATGGTGACCGGGTTCTCTCGAAACCTCGTGAGACAAAACCGTCCCATCGCTGTCCTAGATGAGACGCACTGGTAGCACCTCTCCAACCAAATCTCGCGAACTTTGACTGGAGACTCTTTCAGCAGCAGCGGCACCTCAGCACATTCTTCGGTACGGGAAGCCCGCAAGCCCCCGCTCAGACCGCGAGTAGATGCCTTCGCAATGTCGCCGAGCTTGGAGGCACCTCCCGGAACCTGATGTGCTCCAAGTGAAACGCAGCGATGCGTGCATCGCGGACCCGTTAGATGCACAAGACTTGAGACCCCTGCACCAGGGCCGAGTGCCTCGCCAGGAAGACTGCCTCTGGACAAGGCGAACCAAACGAGTGGATGACAAGTGGATGGACAGCAGAAGCAGGGAACTTGCGATGAGGCACACTCCAATGCGGCAAAGACGATGCATCAGTTGACACATGCATGCGAACTGCTTCGGAAACACAATCAGACAAGATAAAGGAGCTGGTGAAGCTCTGATGTCTCCAGTTCGATACATCGAAGCAACCCCCAAATTGACCCGACCTCGAGGTGAAACTGCCCCCAGTTTGCTGGCCTGTGGCAACAGCCCGTCCCGTACATCTCCTGCCCATCGCTGAGACAGTCTTTGCAGAATAGCTGGATCTGGGCTCCAAGAGCCATGCGAACAACAGGCAAATTCGATGGATCACCGCAAAATTAATGGACAATGGCTCGACAACAACTTGCCACAGCAAGCCGAGCAAAGCAAGCCGAGGAGCTTTTGCCGACAAACGTCCAAGTCCCAGGCTTGTCTTTCAGCAAAGTTGTCTTGAACACTGTACATGCTCAACCAAGGAGTGTGACCTTACTTGCCCGTGGTGTGGAGATGAGAAACGGACATATGCGGTGCTGTCCTGTGGCAAGAGGCAGTAGAAGCAAGCTCGCTATCTTGGCAAAACGAATGGTATTCCATCACTCACAGGTTGCTAAAGTGCACATAACATGTTCAACCGCGAACACAAATGTCTGACAACCAGCGAACCTCGGCTACTTGTGTTGCGGAGTCGGCAAGGCATGAGCTGAAACTGCCGACTCTTGCCACTAGATGATATTCTACAGCACTCCATCATGTCTCGACACAGTGCCTCCATCTCACTTTCTTCGTTTCTTTCTGTTGTTCTTTCAGGTGCTCGTTGCCTTTCTGTAACCATCTTCTCTCTAAATCTCGGTCCTTCTCACCTTCTCCAAGTGGTTCATATTTCGTTTTTGGCATGGTATGGGTTTGAGTCTGCTCGCTGATCTGGGCATGCCCGGGCATGTCAGGACATTTAAAACGTTGCAAACGGAGAGCAGAACGAAGGACCCCGGAGGTACCGGAATGTGCTACTCTCACGTTTTGAATTTATGCAGTCGCTATCAGCACCTCGCTGTTGGCTCGCCTCATTAGCAGCCTTGCTGGAATAATTGCTTTGCTTTGCTTGGACACATTATCGCTGAGTCGCAAGAAGCACTGGTGAACTCTCGGACTCTCGGCGTGGCTTTTTTTTAATCCTGGCCTAGAGCTCCTATCGAGCAGCTCCTTCGCAGTGCAAAGCGCAGGGCTCGGCCAACCGAGCCACTGGCCATGGCCGACCGGCTCGGCCCTGGCCCTGTCTCCGTCCTGGTGCCTCTAGTTCTTCCTATGCATCTCAGTTTCTCATGCTACATACTATGCTACATACCACTTTGCACAAGAACCTGTCGGGCATCAACCAGCAAGAAAAGCTGACATTGGAGTTGCATGATTTTCGTGAAGCTACACAACTCGGGCCGCACATGGCTGCACTGAAGCTCCGTGGCAATCAAGCTGTGCATCCTCTATGGAAAATTGTCAAAAAGACACCTCGCCAGGCAGGTTCGTCTCGATGGCCGCCTGGTTCACGGAACATCACCGAACACAAAGCAGAGCATCACCAAACAAAAGCATGGTTGCTAGCGCTGTAGGCTTCAGTCCCAGGTTCAACCGCTTCCAAATGCAGACAGCGCCGAACAGATCTCAACAAGCGTCTCAACTCGTTTGCGATCGCCTTCAGCTCCTCCACCGTGGCTGATATTGTTGACTCCATCACCTAGGCATCACGAGCGGCTTTTGTCAGAACCAGTCCTTGAATCACCCAGGCAGACATCAATTCTTCGGGCATCTCGGCATCAGGATATCCAACAACACAGATGGTTCAAGGGCAGGCTTGATCATGCCGCGATTGACGAAACACCCGCCTTCCGAACCGCTTGGCATATCTCTGGGGAAGCCTTCCATCGACAGGACGAGTTAAGCTTTAGGAGAGCATGGACCGTACGCTCCTTGGTCTCGTCTTGTGCGGCAATCGGCTGCCGTCGCTTAAAGACTCGCCGTGGCTCCCAGAACAGCACCTGATGAAGGCGGCGGTCAACAGGCAAGCTGTCGATACTCTCGAGGGTGTAGACATGTGCTTGCAAGCTCGCCCAGATCATGCAACCGACCAGATACCATGCACAGATGTTCCGTTTTTGAAAGAGGGCTCGAGCAAGATTTTCAGCGGCGACAGCCATGTGAGGCCTGATGTCTGACAGTGATGCGCCCATGTCCGCACACATTCGTCACACCAGGGCATGACGGTTTGCTTCGGGGGAGACGCTACCGGCAGGAATTCAAAACCCTCTGCAAAGGGCCAAAAACTGTTGCCCTCGGGCCGGTCGGCATCTGCAGACATCCGGACACAAGGCGGGTTCACTGCTTGCGTGCTGGACTTCCGGGCTTTCGACAAAGCAGCTGGTGCAAAAACCGGAGAAATTTGACTCCTGGTCCGCTTCCTTCCTGGCGTGTATGGTGATCAACAAGACCTCTTCTTCACGTTCGTGCTTTGTGTGGTTCTGCTTCTAGCGACGAGAAGCCCGGGTACCAAGGACGGCTACGATTATGCCATCTTACACACCTTCAAGATTCGCAGCTGCCGCAAAAGCTGTGCTGGCAACCCCTGTGAACGAGCTGCAGTTTAGAGGAAAATTACGAGTCATGATCAGGAAAGCAGCTTGAGACAACTGCTTCTCACAAGAGACTTACTAGCGCAGGCAGTATCCAAACGGTGGAGGAGCGAGAAAGTCTGCTGAAAGTGCCAGTTGTCCATGAAGCGTGCACGGTGTCCGAATACATGTTAACACAGCATGCACCTTGGTGAGATCGTACTTGGATCCAGCTTCGAAAACCTTTTCCAGGGTAGCCTCGCAGATGATTGCGCAAGGCGCAGCAAAGGCTTCTTCGAGACCCTCGCGAAGACTTGACTGAAGCTGCACTCCTCGCCAGCTGGCTGCAACAGCCACCGCGCAACCTCGCAACTTGAACAGGTATCTTGAACGGACAAGCCGTCTACAGCAGGCGGGCAGGAACACGACAACTCCTGCCTGCACATCGCAGTGTCCCCCTTGATTCATGACCTGGGAAACATGCACCGAATCTGATCAGTCCGTGCTCGTGCATCTTGTTCACGGGGGATGGGCAACTCCCAGCAGCTGTCGTTTCGCATTGAACCAGTCAATGTCCCCGGCACCTTTCACGGGAGCACGTGCCCCAACCGAGTCTCTCATCCTGAGGGCGCCTTTCAAATCATCACATGCACGAGTCCAATGTTGCACTGTCTCCCTGCCACCATTGGGTCCTCTTCCAGAAAGGTTCTTTTCCATACCATGAGATCTGAGATCTTTGGCAGAGCGGACGTCCTATGCGACCATCTTTGCTAACTGGCCAGTCCACGACCTCGGAACTAGCATGAACCAAGACCCAGTGATCATAGTGAGAAGAGTCGAGGCTGCAGCTCCCTCAAGCACCTGTTTCAGGTAGAGCTTGTGGGAGTCGTAGAAGATCTGTCGGATTTTGGTGCTAAATGTCAGAACTATCGTCTCGGTACACTGCCAGGCGCCTCCGGGAGGCCAGCCAAAACTATTCTCAAGGCGCCATACCTGCGGGCCCAATGCCTTCACTTCTTGCGCTTAATGGCCCGTTTGCAGTCGAAGCACGTTCGTCTGAGCTCAGATTTGGCGTTCCACCCTGCAAGGTGCTGGCAGCAACTCCAAAGCAAGGGAGAAGCCAAAGCCCCCTTTTCGGGTGAACCCCTCCGAGAGAAGACTTTGCGGAGATGAAGGCATTGAAGGCTCCATAGGCTCCATCGAGCCCCGAGCCGCCCGCTCGAAAAACGCACCAGTGGCCCTGTATTCGCATAGGATGAGCAACCACAGTGTCTCGTTCTTGTGGGGCCGATGCCGAGGATAATCGGGGGAAAAACAAGCTCAGTCGCAAGAACTGATCTGCTGCCATCTTGGTGTAAAGAACCAACCAAAATCTGGTTGGGCTCAAGGTGCTAGCAGAAAAAAGGTATGATTGCAAGATTTTGCACAATGAGGTCTCCCTGTCTGTGTTCAGGGTGATCTCCCATAGCGCAGCAAATGTTCCGAGACCTACTTACTTCGGAATCCTTGAAAAAGTGAACCTGAGGGAACGCAGCTCGAAGACATCCAGACTCACTATTCTCACTATTCTGACTGTGTACCAGTTTGACATAGCCACGGCTCTTGCACATTTTGCAGGACACGGCTGCAGGCTGCTGCACAGCCAAGCAGAAGACGCGATCTGTAAAGAGCAGATGCTGTGATGCCTAGAAGACCAGCGAGCTTGTCGTACTTGGCTTTCGATCCCATCTGTCGCACCTCATTGCGAGCAAGTAGTCGGACCAAGGCAACATGAGATCTGCGAGGCCCCGGCTTGTAAAACCAAGTTGCGCCTGACCTTGGAGGAAACAGTGCTCAGAAGCCCCGACAACTTGATGCTCAGAAGCCTTTGAGAGCTCAGAAGCCTTTGAGAGACGGGCTGCCTCGTGCAGGTAGTTAGCAGGCAACGGCTTTGGATGCAAGCTGCTACCAGCCTCAACAACAGGTCGTAAGCAACCTCATTGCGCGAACTGCACTCCTGTACTCCTGTATCCTGCTCATTGACGTGAAATTACTAAGTTCTGTCTTGAAGCGACATCCTCAATGCTCAGGACAGGGCCGCAGTGCGCAGCAGAATTTCACACTCGGCTTCAGGATGCGACCTGCACACACGGTCCAAGTAACTCATGTTCAACATGCAGTGGCCAAGGACCCGTGCCAGAACACATCCTGCCTCGGTGCAGACATGTGCCTGGCCTAGCAGCCCTACAAGCCCGTGAATCTCATGGAAGCAAGGCACGACAGGCCGTTGATGACCGCACGGACACGGAAACCCATCGCCTCAAACTCCAGGGAAGCAGATCTCTTTGATCCCAGCAGCGTCGGCTGATGCAGCCTTGATGAGAGGCAGGATGGCCTCTCGCTCCAGGGTGCCGCCAGCCTCGAAATGGACCGCCACGGACAACACCAGCACAGCGAACTCTACTGCCTGGCGCCTGGCCTGCTGGAGCCACAGCATGATGGTAGCAAGGAGGTCAGCAAAAGGATCGGCAGACTGGCAAAGCAGCACTGCCGGCTTCGCTTCGAGGCAGCAGAATCATGGATGCTCGAAGGCCATGCCAAGGTGGCGAACGGCATGGCAGCGGTCTCATCCGCCTTGCTGCACTACCCGCACTAAGTCCGCTGCCAGCACATGAACCAACTCGGTATGAAGCTGGACAGAAGCTGCGTGGCTTCTAAACACGGTAATGCGGACAAGCTGCTGGAATGCTTTCTGCAGAAGCCTGACGCCCGTGGATACACACAGCGGAAAGGGAAGCATGCATGTCTCACCAAGCTTTGGCAAGTCACTGTTCACTTACGATTCCAAATTCGTGAAACCTAAATTGGCAGCTTGCCCGCGTGCTGGAGACGGGACAACAAAGCAAATGAACCAACCAAAGTAGGTGCTGCTGAACACTAATTTTCCGAAATACCAACAGGCCAGGTGTAACAAACGAAAAAATTGTTAATACCAACGCCACATCAAACAAAAAAACACAAGAAGGAAGAACAAGGAAAAATTGACGAAAAGCCAGGAGCATTGAACAATCTGCTCATTCAACGATTCATCTCATCTCGCTTCTCATCTCGTAGTAAGATCTCATTCATTTTTTTCCATCATTCATCATACATTGTCCATTCACTCTCCCTTCATTCCTTCATTCATTCTGTTCATTGATTCATTCATTCGTCCGTCCATCCGTGCATCCATTCACGACACTGCACACCGCTCCGCTCCAACACAGCGGGGTTCGGTATGTCATTGAGGTTTGGGCCAGAGTAACGTACTATCCACTCTTGGTAACTGGTAGCATTGACATCCCAAACATTGTCCCATGCCGAAAATTATACGTTTACAGGTGCCGCCATCTGCTAACAGGACAGGGCATGGGAAGCCCGGCACCATTGGTTGATCGAAAGGTTCCAGTTGTGAGTATCTGCGTAGGGTGCGGATATTTTCAGTTTTAGTAACTCCTGGACTTCCGGAGCAATTCGAGCACCTACTGTTCGTGTAGGCACGTACAATGTACTTCTCAGCCTGCTCTCCAGCTAGACTTGAGAAACATGCCAATCTCCCTGGCCACCTGAAGCCTGAAGTTCCAATCCGCTTCGGGCCGCGGTTCGGTAGGACCTGTGGATGAAGAGCGAAAAACCGCAGGTAGCCAGGAGCTGAAGGAGCTGGTTCGCGGATCGGATCGAGATACTGAACAAGTTGAAAGCCCCCTGGTCCAGCAATCCGTTCAGCTTGTTTGTGCAGCGGCTCCCAGCTTCCACGAAAGGGCAATTTCACTGCTCACGCCCTTGTAGATGCTGGCGCAGGCCGAAACCAAGTACCAACTGGCGAGCAACCTGTCGCCCGTCTCACAGCAATCCGAAAGCAGCACAAAAGGTTTTTGAGGGGTCTCGCGACGAGCCCAATGAGGATCCCAAGCAACAATGATTTTAATCCAATTCCTCAGCCCGAAGGCCTAGGCACAGGGCAGAAATCAAGAGATGGTCTCGGATGATCAGAAGCCACACCGCTAGCGATATGCAACATGAGCAAAGCTAAAGGTCCTGTTCCTGAGGCTATCTTTTTTTTTAGCTGTCTGTCCATGTGCAGCTTGACCCTCAAAGCTGCAAAAACTTTGGATTCAACATGTGAAACATGAGTGCGTGGCCATCTCCTGAACCAGTAGCGCCTGTGCGGAGGGGTCCTTGTTCCGTAGAATAGAGATGCAAAGGACGGGGGACGACGAGCGCACGCGAGACGGGGGGAGAAGGGGTGATCACACGCAGAACCGTTGGAAGAAGGCTTCAACCAAACCACCCAAACCGTGCCACGCGCAAGTTCAAGGCCCAGGCCGTTCCAAATTGGGAGGAGGGAGATGGTCAAATGGGAGTGTACATTATTGAAAGGAAAGGGGAAGCAAAATGTGAAGAAAAAACAAACACATACGCAATGCAGAACATGACACACATGCTTTCCACGTCTCTGCTCACCTTGTTGTCACCTTTGTTTGCCTTTAGTTCACCTTCATTTTTTCACTATCTCTACATCGTTTTCAGCTTTTCCTGAAAGGAAAAGCTGAATTTGGGTGGCATGGCTGGCTTCCAGCAAAGGAAAGATAAAGGTGCGGAGGATGCAGGAGACTCTTCCTTTGCCGTGTTTTTGTCGCGTTTTCAAGGTCACCTTTCCTTTACCTTTCCATGCAGCTTTGCTAATTCTATAAGTCGGCCCAAAATGCCCTCAAGAACGTCACGAGCGTTGTCGTGTTTAGAGTTAGAATCAGAATTTGCTTCGCGCCGAGGTACAGTAGCAACGTGCCGACCACAGACCTCTCCAGCCCCAGACCCTGAGCCACAGTGGGGCACCCCCAGAACCTGAAGCCCCAGAATGCGGGCTTACTTAAATTGAGCAGCACCATTTCCGGGTGCTCTCCCTGTTGCGCCAGTGCCTCAAGCCTTGCTTCGGCAACAGGGCGGACGGTATTGCCGCCGACCTTGCATGATCGGACCTTCGTTTTCCATTGGGTCGCTCCGAACCCTTTCGGAGGCTCACGCAGAAAACGTGCGTGCTTCTCGGCTTTCCCCTGCGGTAACGCGGGCATCGGCACGAGCATCATGAGCACACGGAACCTGCGCAGCTACCTATGGGGTGTTGGCTCTGTCATGCGCGTTTTGGAGCCGGAGGAGGAGGACGAGGAGGGGGGGCAGGAGCGCAGACCGGGCGCGGGGACGCGCACCATACGAAGGTGAGGCTAGCGTCACAGACTCTCAATTATGGAGTATACTTTAGCCAAGTATAGTATGTTATACTTGGCTTGCAGTCGAACGCTCAAGAATGAGCGTGCCTGCTTCAGCTTAGTACTGGCCACTGCCTGCGCTGACCGCCGGTGAGCGCAGCCCCTAGAATGAATCTAGCTTCCACAAACCGCTGCTGCAAGTGCTTCGACCCTTGCGCGGCCAAGGCTGGTTCAGCCTTTTCCCACATTGTACAGTCGCGCGTAGATGAAGCGACATTATCCAGAAGTTCAACTGCAAGCAGACGGCACAGCCGTGTGGGGGGCGAGAGGTCACGAGATTCAGCTCTCAAGCAACATCTCGCGCCTTGGCTTTCCTCTCCTGCTCAGCCATTTCTCGCTGAAGCGACTGGACGATCGCAGAGTTCGCAGCCTGGACAGCAGCTTCTTCTCGGCTCAGCTCAAGATTGGCTAGCGATGACACCCGAAACAGCCTCCTCCTCAGCTGTGGCGACATCCTTCTTTGTGGCTTACAAGCATGCAGGAAAAAACACACCGAGCACAGACCCCGATACCTGCACGTGATGCTCGTTCACTCACGATGCAGCCGGCGGAGGGTTGGAAGCTGGTCCTCTACGTCTTGAATGTAGACTTCTTCAGTGATCGTCTCGGCGGATTCGGCCACATGTGAGAGACTGTCAGGACAAAGGCCATTCACGTCAGAGATCAGCAGGCCCTAGCTCAAGGAGCATGTTTGTTTGAGCCTTGCATGTGGTGCTTGGTCACTTTCCATCTCAGACCTACCAGACTCTACCACAGCAAAGCAACGAAAGGTCACACCGTGCTTGCCGTGCCATGTTCACATCTTAGGGAGGGGCCCCACTCCGAAGAGCAGCCTTAGGATGTAAAGCAACATTTTCTGTTAGTCTTTACTCGCTTTTCTACCAGACCAAGCAGGTCGCGCTGCTCCGGGGCCAAGCGTTGGAGCCTCCAGCTGCGTGGGCTGGTTGTGCCTGCAACCAAGGAGATGTCTACGATTGAACTGATTACTGCGACCACTCTGCGCATGGCCTTCTTCTCCAATCTGACACAACGACAGGGCGTCCGCCAGTGACACTGCCCACACGTTCCAGCACGGCCTGCATCAGGGCCATATGACAGGTTGGTTCAGAACTCGGCCAAAGCAAAGTTATCGATCCTGCACAGCTGAAAGCCATGTGTTGGAAGTTCCTCTGTTGATGTACTCTCATACTCTTCACCCCAGCACCTGCATCTCCACGGGGAACTTCTGCAAGTTCTCCCTCACGGCAGCAGACAGTGCCTCTCGCTGAGGCACCTCGAAATCCTCAAGGCTTAAGTAAGCTTCTTCATCTCGCCGCTGCGGGAACAGTCAGGCACACAGACCATCGCTTGATCCGAACCCCGCCTTCTGCAGAGTCACGTCGCTGAGCACCTACCGCTCGGCTCTGGCTGACTTTCATCATTCAGCCGGGCACGAACCGCCTGGTACAAAACTGCAGGCCCTGATGAGCTGTCTTCCTCGAGTTGAAACTGGTAGGCCAAGGGTGCTACAAGCTCGGACAGCACATCTTCTCATTCCGTGACTCTGATTCACTTAGACTCAACTCCACCAGACCGAGTCCTCCTCTACGCCGAAGGTTTGCAACCAGTCAACCTTGCTCGATGCAACAAAGTCATTGTCTACTCTCCTGCAGCCGGACATAGCCAAGAGCAGTCTTTCGGACCCCGGCTATCCTTTCTATCCTTGACTCTGGGTCAAGTTCTTTGAGCATTGCAACACTTGCCTTCGAAGGTGGAACGTGCACAACCAGATGACGCTGCATGCAGCACTTACCCAGCAACGCGGAATCTTTCCACGAACCGAGCTCGCCTATGTCTCCAGGCCGACCACTGAGTCAGTCGTCATCAGTCTACTGGATAGTGGGTTTGCCAAGCCTTTTTTTAACTCTGCTGGTGATAGCGACCGCACTAGATTCAGGGAATGTGCGATGCTTGGTGCATCGAGTCGTAGATGGGCTCTGCGAAACTTTCACAACAAGAACGACTTGATGGTGGGAGGCGACTTCGCTGCAAACAGCATGATATTGCAGCGGAGGGAGTATGTCCTTCATTCGTGGACACTGTCAAACGAAGGCAGACGATGCAGTCCTCGGCCGAAAGGCACATGCCATAACAGGGCTATCTCAGTAGGCGGCAAAGCGGATTCGATAACTCAAGGACGCGGAGATTGAGGCCAACTGATTACGAGGATGTGCGAGTGCTTCAAGGACAAGACGTCTCTGTTTGACTTTGCACCGCCACAGCCTATGCCGACGCCAGCTGGATGATGATCCAAATACACGATGTCGGCGTGGTCGCAAGACTTGCTACAAGTATTAGTACACTATTAGGCATCTTGCCTGAGACAGGCACCGCAAACTGGCAGAGCACACGCGGTGTCGAGAATCCGTTTCCGCTCTTGATCAACTGTCCACCGTCCACGGCCCATGTACTCCAAATCCTGCCTTGCCTTGTTCCTACATTCCTGCGCGAGGCTCCGAAGAAGCAGAAGCATAATTCCGATGAGTACCACAACTCATGGACCAGGACTTGAATCATCTCCAGCCGCTGGAGGAGTCACCCCAAAGTTTCGAAGAGGGCATCTGACAATGTTGGAGTGCCCTGCTTCGGTCGGCAGCCAATGTGTCAAAAGCAGAAAAGTCAGTCAAAGTTGGGTCCAAAGTGCCCGTAGGCGTAGAGCGCCCTGCCCCAAGCGGCAGTTGGGTCGTGGATTCAGTCCCGAACAAGCACGGGCTTCGAGACGAGCAGGACGAGAACCGAAGTCGCATGACCAGCAAACGACTTCCCTGTGCCCCTGCCCGCCCTCTGCCCCTTACCATCTCTGCATTTCTCTGCCCTGTGGCCTTGGCCCAGAACTTCACTTCCAGTCGAGCGACTTGCTTCAGCACCTTCGAAAGCGTAAAGACGGTGGTGGCAAGAAGTGCTTGAGCCTTCCGGTGCAGAAGGCCTGCTGAGCTTTCGATTTCGACGTCCGCTCATTCCGTCGCTCTTCAATTGCCTGTCAGGAAGCTCGACATCGAGACGAGAATGATCAAGTCCACAGAGCCTTCAGCGTGCCACGAAGGTCCCCCCAAAAGTTCGGAGCACAAACGTACCTCACCCGTCGCAGAAACATTTCGGCGCAGCTGCTAGCGAGAGGGTCGGGGAACCCTGCAGCTAGCTAGCGGCTTTTTTGGCTCCCTAGCGTCGAGAGCACGCAAAGTTCTTGTGAGAGGTTTCAATGTTGCAGGACAACAATGTTCTTCATGATTCACATCTGCATCCTAGATTAAAGCCGGCACAACTGGCTCAACAAAGATTCAGTTGAGGAGAGGAAGAGGGGAGTGAGAAGAAGCGAGTGAAAGGAAGGGACAGAGTTGAGAGCCAGAGTCTGTGAGAAGGAAAGTGAGAGAGTGCGAAGACGAGAGACGAGAAAAAGGTACAAGAAAGGAGCATGCTAAGTCAACACAGTCAGCCTGCCTGCAAATACCAGAGAAGACTGCAAAAGTGCAAGCGCAATGCTTGACAGAAGCATCCCCCTTTATCGAGAGATTCAGGTTAGCTGAGGCCGATGAGGCCTATGATCGCAGCTTGAGCAAGGACACAAAGCCAAAGATGCTGCCTTTGTACCACCAAGAACCAAGACCAGGGGATTCTGTTGGATTCCCGAGGAGACTGGAAAACTTTTTCGCCGCTTTGGACCATTGCCAACATCGCAAGCAGCCCGGCACAGCTCGGCCTGAAGCCGCTGAAGCCACAAGCAAACAATGTTGTCAAGTGAACGGGCCCACCTTCGCTTTTTGGCATGCCAGACGCTGCGCTGTGCACCGGACATCTGGGTGCCGACGTCCCAGGGTCTGGCGCTGGACCTCAACGGGCGCAGGCAAGGCTTCCATTCTTCTGGATCTTGTATCCTTCCTCTGCCTTTTTCCTTGTCCCTCTCCTTCCCCGTGGGTGCCTGCCACAGGTGCCGCAGGCTGCGCACCTGTGCCGCCCAAGAGCCGCGGCTCCGCAGCTCGAGGTAGTCACTGGCCGTGGACAGCAGCTAGGGGTGAGGAAAACCCTGGAACACCTTACAGGCTCAACGGACGAAGGAAAGACCTTTCCATGTGAAATTCCAGGACAATCTGCGGTCTCGCCTTGTTCTGAATCCGCAGCGTGCGACTCAGGAGGCCTCGAGCCTCTCTGCTTTTGAGGTCCAAAAACTTGCATGTCGAGCATGTCTGCAAGTCTACCTGCTCTAAGACGCTCAGATGCATGTCACGCGCCTCACCGGTCCGGCATTGCTTGTGCAAGGTTGCTGCACGAATCACCGCCGCTGACAGCCTTGTCGACAACAGTTTCGGGCCAGTGCTCAGGACAAATGTGCTGCCGCTTCCCTTGGAAAGTAGATCCTACCTCTATTCTTGTCATCAAGGCGGCGTTCTCGGATGCCGCTGACCAGACACTTTTAGCCGCAGCCGCAGGGCACGACGAGCAACAACGGCTGCTTCCTGGAAGTGGCGCCATGTGCGATGAAGAAGGGGGTACAGTCTGCACCTTAGGTTGCCTCACCAACAGTCCTCGCAACGGTTCAGATCCATCAAACACTCTGCAACCAGAAGCATAGAATCCAGAGTTGCGGGGTGCTCGCGACCTGAGTGGCGGCGACTGCTTGATTTATGCACACAGCCAAGGACTGCCTGTCGAGATCCCGACCGAGAACCTGCAAGAAAGGCAGGAAACTCCCGACAAAAATGAAACGGAAGAAACCCAGAGGATGGCCTCACGCTGCATGCTCACGGCACGCCGAGACAAGATCAAGGCAGTCTCTTTTGGCCCCTCGTCTGCAATTGGTGGCCATGAGCAACATACAGCTGCGATTGACGGGATCAGCTGAGGCACTCCGAAGCTTGAAGAAACTACCTCCAAGACTGTCGCAGGAAGTTTCGCCAAGTGGTTCGCCCGTCCCAGGTCGCCTTAGCGTTGTCTAGAGTTCACTGACATGTGATATCATGTGATTCTGTTTCCGTACGCCGAGCCACGAAGGCCGGCAGCCAAAATGCTGGTGCTTGCTGAAACTTGTGGGTGCCTTGGGCCCAGAGTCTTCTCCTGGCAGGCGGAAATTAGCAGAGATCACTAGGCTCCTTAGGATACAGAAGGCCTTGCTGGACTGTGCAGGGTATTGCGGACGAACACCCTTTCAACATGATGAGGGGGAAAGGATTGATGCCATGTTAAGGCTGCATGAAATGCATCTTCAATGCGTAGCCATGAAACCTATTGCAGGCAAAGCTGGCGCAAGAAGACAATGAAACCACGAAGACAGCAACACAGGAAAGCCAAGGCCTGTGCTCTCAGTGCTGGTGCAACCAGCTCCAGGCTGTCCTGGAACCTCCAGGTCAAGGACTGCCACTGGGCGGCTAGTGGTAGGATGACTTCGGCAGCAAACCTCCCACCTGCCAAGCTTCAGATAGAGGTTGGCGAGCGTGCAAGCCTTGCGAGTTGTGGGAAATCACGACACACAGTGACTTTCCCTCTGACGCTGAATCGAACCACGGTGCTGAGACGAGGGTTCGCGGATGCTGGCTGCCATAGGCCTTCCCAAGAATTTGAACCGCAGCTTCAGGAAACAAGCCAAATTAAGTGTTCTCAGATCGGCTGCAACCTGGCAACCTGAACTCGCTTTGATTGCTTAAATATGCTTAGACCCAGCCTTGCTCAGGGACTCCACGGTTTTTGAGAGGAGAACCGATGCTTGTCGATAAGATCCCTGCAAAGCTGCTCTCTACTCTCTGCCACTGCGGGTGGTAGAAACGCAGCCGCAGCAGGCCACATGCTTTTGATCTTGCAGTACATGGCCCTAGCTTGGAGCTTGGACGGTGGGATGTTAGCGGAAAGCATTTGGCAGCAGCCGGCAAGCTGCTATCGCGGCCTTCTCGCGAAGGATGCTGCAAAGGTTGTGAGCCGTGCAGAGGGTTCTAGGATGATGCGGACCAAGCACCTGAAGGGCAGGGAAATCAAGACGAAAGCCACCAAAGACACGTCATGGTTACTCCTTTCGTTCTTCTCGGCTGGCTCTACTGTAGAGACGCTCGCTGTCATGTAAGCCGGGTTGAGTCAACCCTGGTGGTCGACCTCCTCCTCCTCTGAATGCGCCTCACGGGCCATTCGCTCAGCCTGGCTCAAGAGCCAGGGCACCGAGGCTGACTCCAACTTGGCCTCGCCTCGTCAAGAATGCCCTGCCTTGGATGGAGCAAAAGATCATGCTGCTAGGTCGCTAGATGGCCATGTCTCAGCAGCAAGGCGTCTTTTCAACTCGGCCCCGGAACGCCTCTGTCTCTGCTCCGAGCGTCTTTCAGCACTCAGCTTCGCTTGCGAGGGAGTCTATTCTGCTCTCTCCATTAAATCAATCTTGTCAGACAGCTGACCGGTGAGACCCGCTGCTGCGGCACAAGAATAGGAGCCTTGGTTACATCATGACGCGCATTGCAAGACTCGATGTAGAAGCTGCTCCAAAATTGCATGCTTGCACTACTTTGTCCAGCAGCTTGACGACAGCAGTAGCAAGTCCTGAGACTTGTTGCTGAGACATTAGTGCGAGAGCTCCGAAATGCAGCACTCCTTTCCCAGGCTGGGAAGCTGCAAATAGTCGACCAGATCCACTGGGCAGTGATGGGTTGCGGGCTCAGTGCCATTGAGGTCCTCACATCAAGCACTGTTGTAGTAGTGACTTTTTAGCGACTACCTGACCTACACAAAATGCATTTCATGCTTGCAAGCCTTCCAGGTGCACTCAGCAATGCTCCCATCCTGATCCAGGTGGCTGTCCCAAGGCTGGACCGGGCAACCAAGATTGCACTTGCACCGAAGTCAAATGTCGCCCGCATGTAACAGAATCTAACAGAGGACAAAAAGATTGCAAACGAGCAATGCAGGCTCTTGGCAAGGGACAGTTCAAAAGGGTGGGTCTTGCAATATAAGCGCTCGACATTTAAAAGGTAAAGCTCGATAGGACCGGCTACACCAGAAACTGGGCCCCATCGCGCGACACATACCCACAACATGCAGGAATCAGAGGCACTCTATTGTGCACACCGTGTCGCACTACCCGTTGATGAGATTCACTATATCGAAGCCTGAAGCTTGCAAAACACTGTGATACAGGATGCGCCGGTAAAGAGTGAAGGCATGCTCCTACGTGCGCTTTGCAATGCGCACTGCACTTCCAGACCTCCGGGCCTGCAGTGTGTGGAACCACGAGTCAAATCGCGTCATCAACATGGAAAACTCCTCAGACATGTCAAGTTGGAGAAGCAAGGGTGCTTTGTACTGCTCGCACCTCGAGCTCAGCGTTGTGTGGGTGGCTGACGACACGCCAGCAGCAACGTATGCTGATTGCAGCAGCAGCACGCAAACAGAGAGCACAGTTGCAAAGCAAACGGCCGCTGTCACACAGTATTTGCAAAGCTGGGCATCCTTCTTGCTAAGCTTCGAGTCTCCGTCTACCTCACTTGAGCTCACCACACGCTTCTGCATGCTTGTCTTGCTGCAGCGAGCTGTGCGCTGCCTCGACCTCTTCTGCTTGCGGCCAGGACGCATCGGCACTTGCATGTGCATGGTGAATACTGTTGGCAGTGGCATTGGACCCGATGTTTGTCAACCCCTGCCTCAGTTCGACACAGACAACGGCGGTTCAGGTACATCATGGGATGATGTCATGTTGTCTAGACACTCCAAGGGTGCTACATTCTGCCGCAAACACACTGGATATGCAATTGCGCCACATCTATCAGTTTCGTTAAAAAACGCATCTGAAGATTGCATCACTGCTAGTCGAAAACTAGGACTGAGAAACGCCAGACAGGGCCCGTTTCCAGAACTTCTATGTGGTGGCCTCCTGTACCTGAAAAGACATGTGTCATGAATTTGGTCGACATACTTGTGGTTTACCCATCATCTAACCCGAGCAGCCACACTGCTGCCTAGCAGCCGCAACTCGTCTTCGTCCACCTCGCCATCACCGTCGACGTCGAATCTATCTGGGCCCGCCTGAGTCCCAACTCGGCACTCTAGCGATGCGACTTCATGGGACACCATCGAAACTGACGGTGCCTGGTTGGAGCCCAGCTTGCAACAGCACCGCCCAAGGTTGCCGTGTCTTATGGACACCTGAAACATGAAAAGCTGAACACGGATGCACACTTCACTGATTGCAGTCATGTTGATGAGTCGTGTTCCGCCTCCTGCTGAAGTTCTCCCGCCGCCAAATCCTGGTAACTAGCGCTGACCACAAGTGCAATCTTGAAAGCTGCAAAGGGGAGGGGTCCTTCGCGTGCTTCGCAAAGTCCGTGCGAAGGGCGGCAAGGTCCGATTGCATGGCATTGCTTGCCGAAGCCAAGTTGATCTCAGGACTCACAAGCAAAGCATGCCAGCAACAGTATAAAACTACGTACCGATTCATCAACTGCCTGCTCCTCGTCAGCAACTGCACCTTGCCAGGCATGCTCGCTAGCTGTTGCCCCATCCGACAACAAAGCAAGTGAGCAACATCGAGACTCCCTTCATTCCACGCGGTCCGGTTGCATGGGCGAGAAAACGGACCAACTGCAAGCAGCAGGGCGACAGCTGATCAGTGAGAGACTGTCAGAAGTGCCTTCTCGCTTGGTGAACCTTTTTTAATGCACTAGCGTGTCATGGGCTGTCACCTGGCAAAATTTGATCATGACCGATCTGCGGGCCGCGATATCCTCTCTGGACACTCTGACTTGCACATCCTGCGAACGCGACAACGAGCAAGCAAATATACTGTGACACGATAAATGCGCGGGGAAAAAATTGCGGAATCCACCTCATTAACATTCTCAGCCGAAGGTTTGCACATTTAAAGGTTCCTGAAAGATATCCAACATTACTGACGCTTATGCCGCCAGCAATGTCTCTGAGAAGCTGCTTTCACAGATCTAGCTGCGACACGGGATAGAGTGAGAGCGACCGCGGCTTCCGTTAAGGTGGAATGGGGACAACTACACACTACGGCACACATGTGCACACGAAATCAAGCCGAAGGACTCAGATGTTTCAGCACCGACTCGCGGGCATCTGCCAGCTGGTCACGGAGAAGAGACAAAGCCTGTGACAGAGAACTACCTACTGCGATCTTTTGAATGGCAGCCAGCTGACTGCTGCAGATGCACCTGCGAAATGTCTTGGTTGGTTGCGATGGACATGGATCCCCGGTCATGATCCATCCCAGCGCCGCTCCTCAGGAGAGATGAGAGCTCTACTCCCAATCGATCTGTTGGATCATGAAGTGAATCACCGAATTTCAGATTTGATCACTAAGTTGCAGATCCACATGGCCACATGCGATCTGGCAGGGCCGTGTTTTCTGCATCGAATTTCCAAATCTTGCTAATGCAACCCCAGCCTTTGCCAGCACAGCAAAGAACTTCAAAGCCTCATCAGCACGCCTGGGACACAATCGTGCTCCGGTGTTCCACCCAAACCCGGTTCTGATTCAGACTTGAGCTCGCTTACTTAAGTGCTGCCACACAACATGCGGGAGACTGGCAGGAAGTCAAGGATTCTAGCAGCCGACGGATGTAGCTTGAGCCAGATGGCATCACGAAGGCAGAGTTTGATCCGCCAGCCCAGCACTTACACTTCTATAGGACATGCTGTCAGCACATTGCGGCGAAGGGCCATCTTTTGCAGCCAGAGTGCTGCTCCAGGGTCGATGCTAAAGCGCTCTTTACGGTCATCGTGTCGGGATGTCGTGGGCCCATCCGTCTGGTCAAGACCTCCGATTCATGCCGGCATCGCACAACGTGTGCTTCTCCCCTCGCTCGCCCACGTCCTCAAGGGTTTCACGCTGCAGGTCGCCAGCCTGCGCGCAGGACTTAGAGAGAGGTCCAATCCCCGAGGCAACAGTCACGCAACAGACCCCACCAGCTGTGCCCCGAAAGCAACACGAAAGCTGAAGTCAATGACCCCTGAGCAACGAAGACAAAGAAAGCTTCAATCGGTGCCTCTTCGTAACATCCTCTCTGCTGGAGCATTCCGGCCTTGGCATGAACACATATTGCACACGAGCGGTCTCCTCGTAACTTAGCAAAAAGTAGTACCAGTCTTGCAGTTATTCTCTTCTCCACCGCAAGGCACCAGATTGTGAGCTGCGACCAACGTCTCCAGGTTCTCCATGCCAACTGTTCTTCGTCGAATCTCCAGCATCTCCTTTGAAGGGACATGCACGCATGATGTAAAATCATAACCAGGGAACCAGCAATCAAAATCAATAAACCGATCGAGCAATGCAAGGTTGCTACATGTCATGGAGGCCCTGGACGCACAGAACTGATGCCTTATGTACATATAGATATATACACAAATATTAAAGCAGCATAAATTGTACTTGCTCTCACCTTTCATTACACTTTATCTCTACATTGCTATTGGTTACGATATTACATGATTGTACTATCTTACACATTGCACTACATCTTCTTGTTTTGCATGTGTCTTCACTTATGATGATCAAGTCTCAGCCCGGGCTTCAGCTGGCGAACAAATGTACCTACGCCCAGATGTGTTTCTAGATACTAGATCACACAAAGTCAGGCGAGCCAGCAATCCTTCAGCAATAAGTGTGTCACTATGTCACGATGTCGACCAAAGCATGAAGTCATTCGTCTCCTTCTGGTATTCGATGGCCTCCGCATGCTTGCCCTGAAGATACACACTGGTGCGAACAGTATGATCATGAATCACACGCATCGGGCTGGCTGGTCTCACATTCTGAACCAGCCTGCAAGTGAAGAGCCGCTGCCAAGCTGTTGACAGTGCAAAGCACATCAGGATGCTGTGGCCCTAGCAACCGCTGCTGCACATCCAGAGTCCGCTTGGCAACCTCGCCACGAGAGCATGTCAACACACGAGAGGCCCATTAATCTTCCCGCCTGTGCGGATTCTTCATACCTGCCGTCCTCTTGGAGCAGAACGGCCAGGTTGCTGGCAGCAACCAGGGTGTCGGGATGCTTCTCGCAGGGAAGCGACAATACTGGAAGAAAGACATGTGTGTCTGGAAGGCGGTGCAGCCGGCTCAGACAAGCGTCCTCGCCAGCACGTTTCCTCATCAGTCTTAGTGATGTTCGAGAAAGCGAGGCAGCTTCTTCACGCTTGCCTTGCAACGCACGGCATCCAGGAGACTGCGAGTACGTTCAATGCCAGACTCGTAAACACGAAACTTAACTAACGAAAAGCCGTGACCTTCGTCAACCTGGTCACCCATCATACTGAGCGTGCATGCGAGGTTGTTGGATGAATTGATCGCGTCAGGATGACTGCTCCCCAGCACTCGACGCTGTACTGAAAGAGCTTGCCGCTGCAACTCCACGGCATCTTGATATCGGCCCAGTTCTCGCAATGAGCTGGCAAGAACAGTGGATATTCGCAGAGCCCGAGGGTGATGAAGCTTGCCCCGTTTTCTGAAGCTAGCCGCGGATTGTTCAGCCCGTTGGGCAACCTGCTCATGCTTCCCAACTTCATGTAGCGTGCAGATGAGGTTTTCAACGGCCCAATCCCGCACCCACAAGTAGCTGTGCCTTTGCAGCGGCCTCCACCGAACTTTAGAATGTAAGGCCTGAGCCAAGGAAAGGCGGGCTGCTCCAACATAGTCTTGACCGCAAATCGAACAGGTTCTCCAGAATGTCAAATTTGGCCATCGGCTGGCTGCCCAGTGCACCAAGCACCGAGCATGCACCAACCCAGCAGATCCCCGACAAGCACAGACTTGCCCGGTAATCAGCCCGCTTCCATCAAAGCAAATGCGGCAAACAGCTGCATCTTCAGGATGCAGGTTGCCACGCATCTGGCATGTTACACTGCCTGGGCGAAAAGAATTCTTCATGGCTTCCAAGCTTGAACTTCGGTTCTTATGAGTTCTTATGTGTCTTGTTCCTGTCCCTCGGCTACGAAGCTCGAGCCTTGCAGCCCGACTCTCGCTGCCGAAAAGACGACTGTGTTCACGTCAATAAGCCAACTGTGATCAAATGGAGCATCCTCGACCCCATCCATGGAATTTCAGTGGACAGTAAGATCACTCCGTGTCTAAGCACGGCTCCAAAAGCTCAAATACTACAAACCTACATGCACAGCGCACGTCTTTGCATTGATCCGCTGCCGAATGTTGGCCATTGCGTCCTTGAGAACATTGTCCTCAGCACAATCCAACCGAACGGCTCTGATGCGTTTACAGAAACACCAAATTCATTGCAGGAATCGCACAAGTTCTTGTCACAAGTGTGGACGAGTCTGACGACAATTTGACATGAGCATCAGGCTGAAGATGAGAAGTCTTCCAAAACCTTCGAGCTCAGACGATTAACCACATCGTCATGCAAGGAGGGAACGCAAACCATCATAATGTGCATGCAAAGCTTGGGTTCGAGTCATGCTACAGTCGTAAGATGAAGCCTTGACCGCATCGAGGAAGTCAGCTTGGAATTCACTCGCCAAGTCCTTCGTGCGATAAACTCACTCCAACAGTTCGACGATGTCTCGCATGCTGTTAGTCCTCCATCTGGACGGTTCCAGCACCATTGGTCAGTGCACTGCTGATGATGCAAAACAATGGAAAAGAATCAGAGCCACGATATGATCAAGGTCCAACTGTAGTATGCACGTTGGCTCAAAACTAATAACTCAATCCTGTTGGTTTCTGAACGGACAGCTGCCTTTGCATTGCTTTGAAAGTTGTTGACGGCAATGCTCTTCATCGGAACAAGTCGATGATGGGCATCACGTGTCATAGGCTTTCAATTAATTCAGTCATGTTGTGTTCTAAATGTGCTCGAAGTCACACAAGAACCGCTTTCAAGCCGAAGAACACTTGATCATGATTGCACCGGAAAAAGAATTCTGAACAGACGGAGCAAAACGAGTCCAAAAAGCACTGGCGGGCACTTTGTCCTCAAAAGCAACCAAGTTAAGACAGCTTTGCTCCAAACAAAAAAAACTGTTTTGTTTTTGGAAAAACAACTGCACAATGTCTTTCTTTCGCCTGTCTGTCTGGTGTCTGTCTGCTTCTGCTGCGCTTTTGCTGAAGTTTGGATGTTTTTTGCGCTGTTGGAAGAAAGAAAACAGATGAAAGACAAGCAACGAACAATGTGCACAGGCTTTCAGTCTTTCGCTCCGAAATACAAGCAAATTGCAAACAAAAACAACCAACAAGATGACATCAAACACACACACGACTTCTGGCATTCATGGGCAAATTCACAGTCTGTTTTCGTGTTTGATACGAATTCGAAAAACAGCGTTGCAGTTGCGTGCATGCTCAGTGTCATTTTGCGTGTCAGTTCGACAAATTTGCCTTGTTGTGCAGTTTTCATAAAAAAACGGAAATGATTATCGTTTTATCGGGTGATTCAGAGTCCATTTCATCGGATGATTCTGCGTCCGTTTCTTATCGGGATGAGATTTGTCGAAGATCTCTCCAAGCCCCTCAAATGACGAAGTCCGCTGAGAACGTCGCGACTGAGAGTTCCACGTCATCGAGCGAGTTTGTGGAAGACGTGTCATTTAGGACGTTCCAGGCTACATCACGCTTTTGATCCACCGATGAAATGTTCCGTCTGAGGACGCTATTCTTGACCGATCTGAAGCATGTCGCAATTTGCTCTACAAGTGGTGGTTAAGCAGGTCCACATCTGCCTCTCATCTTGCATCTGCTTTCGCAGCTTGAGCA